GAGGTAACGAGGGAGAGAAAAAAAGAAAAAAGGGAGAGGCTACTCCGTGCTCCGGGTATATTCGCGGGAATATCGCGCACAAGAATGTTGCACGCTCCTTTTTTCTTACTCTTCTTGTAGTATCGCTTCTTCTTCCTCCATCTCCTCCTCTTTTACCTTCTACTCCCCTCCCTACTCCATCACTTCCTCCTCCACTTTCAACACCTTCTCGTTTGAGACGTCCGTCTTCGCACCACGCACCACCGACGCACCAGGAGAGAAAGAAAAAAAAATAAAAGGGAAGCACTCCCGATTGCGAGAAGATCAGAGAAGATGGACAATGACGTTGGGTGACTACACGCGCGGAACAGGGGAGGACCGAGAGAGGACGGAGAGAAAAGGGTGCAGGGAAGGGGACGCGAGACGGATGCGAGACGGTCAAGAGTGTGTGAGGAAGAAACGCGAGACGGGAATTGGGAAAAGCGAAAGAGAAGTGAGAGAGGATGGCTGTGTGTGCGGATGGTGTCAAGACATAGCAGAGAGACGGAGCGGGCAACAAGGCAGAAACGGTTCGGTGCGTTACTAGCAGCCTCGCGCCGAGTAGAGAAGCCAGAAGCACCGGGTAAAACACGATTCCCTAACTAACACACACGGAGACGGATCGGGGACTGCTTTGGAGCAGTTTACTATAGGATGGGACACGGATGGTGATGGCGGGCTCTCTCTATCTACCTCTATCTCCGTCCCACTCACCGTCCACCCTCTCCTTCTCCAACGCGAACCAAATCTCCCCTCTCCTGCATCGAGAGATCGGCTCTCTCTCCTTTTCCCCCTCCCCTCCCCCCTCTTTCTCTCTCTCTCTCTCGCCCCTCTGACGATATAAACGACGATGGACACGCTGGAATATCCCTCCACTCTTCGCTTTCCTACACGTTCCCTCGTGGGCTACCGGCCGATGAGATCTCTCCCCCTGCATCCTCCGCCTCCGCCTACGGTGTACCGCCGCTGTCCCACGTCCGACGTCTCACCCCTCGGCTTCCCTCTCTCGCCCGCCACCACCCTCCACCGACGCAACGGACAGCCCCCTCCTGCTCTGCCGCCCGCCGTTCCTGGGACAGCGAGATGTTATCCTCGAGCGATTCGTGCGTGTGCTATATATCCGTTTGTCCGCCGTGCCGTGCCGTCGCCACATCCCCTACCTGCGTCGCGTTCCCCTGCGTCAACGTCGGCGTGTGCGTCGGCCGCAATCAAGACTAGGACCGTATCCACCATCAGCACGTGCCCTGCTCCACATTGGTCAAGCGGCACGAGCGAAAGGTCGTAAAAAAAATTATGGCGTATATAGTTCACGTTGTTTCGCCGCTTAAAACGTTTTCGGTCATTCTAAAAATATCTTACTTATACATGACACATTTAGACACGTAAAGACATTTAGACACATAAAGAATATTTGTCCTATATTTAATCGAATGTGAGATTCGTTCGTTTTAGCTAAGCTAACTTTATTATACATTCGTACATTTTACTGTACTGTAGATATAAACTTGAGAGATTTTTATTAGACTGTGAGGATCTATCCAGACAAATTCACATAGAGCCCTAAATGTATGCATAAAGAAAATTATTCAATCGCATTTTACGTTTTTGTAAGAAACAGAAAGAGGTAGAAATGTGTTTTGATAATTTTCTTTATGCACACATTTATACGGATGTGTATAGACGATCAATGTGTGCATAAAGAATTTATCTGAATATACCCTTCTGTATTCTCTCAAGCTCTATGAAGAATATACTAACAATGACAATTAATCATGAGAAGAATATATTGACGATGAATCATAAGAATCAAATTACAAATGAAGTATTTTAAAATATTTCTTACAAACGGAGATCGTGGTATTATAATAGTACGTGTCGATTAGAGAGAATTTTCATAAATAATAAATCTACATTCATGGCATTGCTTCAAAGTCTGTAGAAGAAATTATCTTCATTTTGCAAAATATTTTACTGTTAATATTATAGTTGAGGACTTTGTAATAAAATAACTTTGAAAGTAAAATTATATTGATTTTAACATATTCAAAAATACAAGTTTAATATATTGATTCTTCGTTGTTATTTGCGACATTTGATTTATCATTATTTTATATACCTGCTAAAATTAATATAATAAAAGTAAAGTAATGAAACATTGATCTACTGTGATGATTGTAAATCGATTAATCATATAAATCGGAGGGAAGTCGGAATCAAAAAATTTTTATGGTTTATTCTCATATCGACAAAAAAAAGCAGTTGTTATCGCAACGCGCTCATTAACCGGAAACCATAGTATCTTCGGCTTTAGCTGATACGCAGACGTTGTTGCTTCATTCTTTATCTAGCAAATGAAAGGATGCGTACACGTTATATGGAGATGCGTGTGCGGTATGGCCATTTCCTTCGAAGCACGTTGGTTCTCTCTTTCTTCTCAAAGATTGAACTCCGTAGAGAGAAAATGGTGCGCTCAGCGTGCATCTTGGAAGGAAAAGAATTATAATACGGTTTGACCTGCAAGCTATCATAAATGCGTACAGAAGTTGCTTGCTTTAACCCTTTTGACATCGAAATTTCGACAGAGTTATTCGATATTTAACATATTTATTTCACGACGTTATTGATAGATATACTGTTGCTGTTTCAAAAAAATATTATATATTTAGTTGATTCAACTAAATGCAGTTTTTGTATACTGTATACATTTTTAAAAATTGATGTAAGTACACTATATCTTTTTACAAGCTGAAGTTGATAAGAGCACACTTCTCTATTGTACATATAATCAGTAAAGTATTAAATAGTTATAAAAATGTTGAATAAATATTGTTATTGTAGTGGGAAAAAGATGAAGAATATTCCTATATAAGATGAATGATTTTTATGTAAGTTGTTTGATGAAATATATTTCTTTTGATATTTAATATATCAAATTTGGTATTTAAGTATACATTACAGGATTCTTTATAAATTAAATAAAAAGAAATCAATATTATGAAATGAATAAAATTTTTAAAACCAGAAAAAGTTTCCATTTTTTTAAAAATTCAAACTTAAGTCTGGAGGTTTTAAGAGACTTAATTTTTGATCGAAATGTATAAGTACGTATAAATAAATAACGAAATTTTAAGAAAAAGATCAAGAGTAAATCAGAATATTTTAATTATCTATTAGTGATTCAAAATTAATTAAATCTAATTAATTTAAATCTTATAACAAGTATCTATCATTTTATATAATATCATATGTATAAAGCGCAGAATTGATTTTTCTAAAATGTGTGTAATTGCACAACGAAGTTAAACACTGAACGTTAATTATGCGGTGAGAACGGAGAAGTAGCAGAAATAGCGCGCGATAAGGTTCAGTTATCTGCGTTTAATTCCCTTGACTTTTCACCGCTGTAAGGCAAATGATACGTCCGCAAAGTGTGTACGGGAATTGTTTATTCTAACTAAGCGCACAATGCGTAGAAGAATGTGTCTATAAAATTTCAAACATATCATCTTTTTGATGAATAATTGTTAAAAATTAGACGTTAATGATATATTTTTTTCATTACAGACAGCGATCATGTATACAAGTACAAACAGATAAATTAGAACTTTATTCGGAGTCTCCTAGTTACAAAAATGCATTTACTTTTATCGTTATTCTGTTTATCCTACTTCAAGTCCGATTTTTTCTTTGTATTATTTTATATTTAATATATTTAAAGAGAAAACGAAATAAATTCTTTTCAGTTTTTATTTAAATTCTTAAATCACACATAAGAGTTTTTTGAAAATGTACATATAGGCAATTGTT